CATCTTGACATGTTATTATATATGTGCATAGTAGTGAGCACTACGTTTTATTTTGTGCTCACTCCCACCTGCTCTTCACGGATGCAGGTTAAGCAGGTGTCGGATGACGAGGAAAGACGTGTGGGTCGGTTATTGATTATGTTTATTTATGCTTTTGCTCATGAATAAATGTTTTAGTCTTTGAAACCTTGTTTTGGGTTAAGACATGATAAACGTTTTGAAAACTCCTGTTTGAGTATGTTGAATTTTTGGGATGTTTTGATGAACCTTATATGAATTGGTTATCATGTGTTTGGTTATTTCATGCTTTGGTGTTTGAGCTGAATAACTTATGTTGAAAATCAGGTTAATGAAAACTATGTGAAAAATCGGGTAATGAATCCCCGAGAAACCAGATATGAATTGGTTGATGTTAATTAATGTTTGAATAATGCCCATGTTTTCGAAGATGAGTTCGAAAAATTATTTACTTATTTTCGGAAAGTCCGAAATTTCTTTAAAATCAAAGTGGGGTGTTACAGCGTAGTTCACCATTGGTCTCATTTCAGCAATAACTGGGGGTCGTCCTTCAAATACTTCAAACTCAATGTGGTTTGATAAAAATCAGTGTCTTAAAACGCGTATGGCGTAATGCCTCGCCTTTTGGTCTTTATACTGCGTAGCGTAAATAACGTTGCGCGTTGAATAAGCTATTTGGGTATAAAATTTTCTTTATAGAAATACTATAAATATATTTGCATATAATAAAACTGGATGGTTGATTCTAAAAATCATCATAATATTTGAATGAATTCACAAATAACATATAAGAATTATTTCTCACAAATGTCTAATGTAAATATCATAATATAAATATTTAAATAATAAAGCAAGCATACTAAAGAAGTAAAACAGACAAAGAAAATATAATGTGAGGTAAGTCGTAGTTTAATTTTAAGTATATATATTTTAATTATTAAAAACTTAATTTTAACCGCTATATATGAACTTTTTATTCTTTATTTAAATGTAGATATCAAAAATTAAAATGATATAATAGAAAATGACCGATAAGTATTGCACTATTCAACTTAACATTTTACATTTTCGAGCTTCTAATTTAAATCATTATCAAAAGTTTAGTTTTTAGTTTTCATGATTCGAAATTATGACTCTAATCTCAAAAAGTACAAGTTTTAAAATATCTTATTATTTAAATATCTTTAAAGAAATATAGCGCAATGTCGCGCACAATAGCGTGAAATAACGTAAAATAGCGTAAAAAAAGTGTCATTTCAACATTTCGCGTAAGCTTCTTGGGAAAAACGCTAAACATATAAAGCTACGTCGCGTTTTTTGGGAAAAAAAAAGCTACAGTGTGAGTAATATCGAGCTATATAAAGATTGGGGCCCTCCAATCTTCCACTGCTTCGATCTCCGCCACTTCTGCTTCGACCATACTCTTTTCCAGATGCAATAAAGTAACACTTCTGCTCTTACAATCCACCAAGATCTGAGCGATTTTTTATAGCAGGTTCGCCCGACCATTTTCTCCTCGAGGAATTTGTATCAGCTCGAATGAA